ATATATATATATTAATAAGGTAAAAAATATATAGAATAAATAGGGTGAATGTAAAATACATTTGTGATCATTAACCAATTTGTTAACTTTGATTTATTAAAATATATATTCTTTTAGTATCTGTTTAAAGTTATCTGTTATTGAATTGACTCAAGTATTATATTTTAATAAATGTAAAGTTTAGTGTCATTTAAATAAATTTTAAGGTGATGAGTTATAATTTACTCCATTTATTTTCTTTGATCAAATAATATTATTAGTTTTAGCTTCAATAAGTGTTGATGTAATAAGAAAAAGAGATACACAATGTATTGATAAAATGTTTTAAAAAATAATATATTAATTTTAGTTTATTTTATAAGAAACAAATGATAGAATACTTTTTACTATTAGTCATTTATTATAAAAAGAACAAGAGGAAGAATACTATCTAAATATCATTACTCCTTAACCAATATCATCTACCCTAATGTAAGTCTAGAGCATAGGGCTAAGGACGAGTAAAAATATTGAATCGTACTAAATTGGTGATGAATTAAACTGAACTACAAAATTCAATTATTTTCATAAAAAAATGAAACTAAACTATTTAAGAATCGAATTGAATAGAACTATAAAATCTAAAATATTTTTATAAAAAAGTAAAAATTAGAGCGGTAAAAAATTTTCCAACTGAATGAGCTAGCTTGATGGCTCAACGTGCCAACCTCTAAAAAAAAAAGTGGTTCAAAAGAGAATTAGGTCAAAGAAATTCAATCAAAAGCATCTAAAACAATTCGGTTCATAATATCAAACAATTTAGTTCGGTTCAAATTTTTAGTTCGATTTAGTGAAGAAAAAAAATAGTTTAATTTAGTTTGCATGAACTCTAAATTAGTTCAGTTTAGGTAGACTTTTTTTTTTAATTTATAATTTATAAATTCAATTTATCTTTTTTTTTTATCATACATATCCCTTTATAGAAAGAAATTATTAGCTAGATATATAGTATAAGGTGATTAAGTATTCATAGTCTTAATTTTATATATATATA